AAGAGTGTGGGTGTCGGGTACAGGGTGAGGGAAGAGTGTGGGAGTCGGGTACTGCGTGAGGGAAGAGTGTGGGTGTCGGGTACAGGGTGAGGGAAGAGTGTGGGTGTGGGGTACAGGGGGAGGGAAGAGTGTGGGAGTCGGGTACAGGGTGAGGGAAGAGTGTGGGTGTGGGGTAAAGGGGGAGGGAAGAGTGTGGGAGTCTGGTACAGGGTGAGGGAAGAGTGTGGGTGTGGGGTACAGGGTGAGGGAAGAGTGTGGATGTCGGGTACGGGGGGAGGGAAGATTGTTGATGTTGGGTACGGGGTGAGGGAAGAGTGTGGGGGTCGGGTACGGGATGATAGAACAGTGTGGGGCTCGGGTACGGGGTGATGGAAACGTGTGGGGGTCGGGTACATGGGGAGGGAAGAGTGTTGGTGTGGGGTACAGGGTAGGGAAGAGTGTGGGGGTCGGGTACAGGGGGAGGGAAGAGTGTTGGGGTCGGGTACAGGGCGAAGGAAGAGTGTGGGTGTGGGGTAAAGGGGGAGGGAAGAGTGTGGGTGTGGGGTACAGGGTAGGGAAGAGTGTGGGGGTCGGGTACAGGGGGAGGGAAGAGTGTTGGGGTCGGGTACAGGGTGAAGGAAGAGTCTGGGTGTAGGCTACGGGGTGAGTGAAGAGCGAGGGTGTGGGGTACAGGGTGAGGGAACATTGTGGGTGTGGGGTCAGGGTGAGGGAACAGTATGGGTGTTGGGTACAGGGTGAGGGAACAGTATGTATGTGGGGTACAGGGTTTAGGGAACAGTATGGGGTACAGGGTGAGGGAACAGTATGGGTGTTGGGTACAGGGTGAGGGAACAGTATGGGTGTTGGGTACGGGGCGAGGGAACAGTATTGGTGTGGTGTACAGGGTGAGGGAAGAGTATGGGTGTTGGGTACAGGGTGAGGGAACAGTATGGGTGTTGGATACGGGTGAGGGAAGAGTGTGGGGTACAGGGTGAGGGAACAGTATGGGTGTAGGGTACGGGGTGAGGGAACAGTATGGGTGTGGGGTACGGGGTGAGGGAAGAGTGTGGGGTACGGGGTGAGGGAAGAGTATGGGTGTGGGGTACAGGGTGAGGGAAGAGTGTGGGTGTGGGGTACAGGGTGAGGGAACAGTATGGGTGTAGGGTACGGGGTGAGGGAAGAGTGTGGGTGTGGGGAATGGGATGAGGAAAAAAGTGTGGGTGTGGGGTACAGGATGAGGGAACAGTATGGGTGTGGGGTACAGGGTGAGGGAAGAGTGTGGGTGTGGGGTACAGGATGAGGGAACAGTATGGGTGTGGGGTACAGGGTGAGGGAACAGTATGGGTGTGGGGTACAGGGTGAGGGAAGAGTGTGGGTGTGGGGTACAGGATGAGGGAACAGTATGGGTGTGGGGTACAGGGTGAGGGAACAGTATGGGTGTGGGGTACGGGGTGAGGGAACAGTATGGGTGTGGGGTACAGGGTGAGGGAACTGTATGGGTGTGGGGTACAGGGTGAGGGAACAGTTTGGGTGTGGGGAACAGGGTGAGGGAAGAGTGTTGGTGTGGGAAACGGGATGAGGGAAGAGTGTGGGTGTGGGGTACAGGGTGAGGGAACAGTATGGGTGTTGGGTACAGGGTGAGGGAACAGTTTGGGTGTGGGGAACGGGGTGAGGGAAGAGTGTGGGTGTGGGGTACAGGGTGAGGGAACAGTATGGGTGTTTGGTACAGGGTGAGGTAACAGTTTGGGTGTGGGGAACGGGGTGAGGGAAGAGTTTGGGTGTGGGGTACAGGGTGAGGTAACAGTTTGGGTGTGGGGAACGAGGTGAGGGAAGAGTGTGGGTGTGGGTTACGGGATGAGGGAAGAGTGTGGGTGTGGGGAACGGGATGAGGGAAGAGTGTGGGTGTTGGGTACAGGGTGAGGTAACAGTTTAGGTGTGGGGAACGGGGTGAGGGAAGAGTGTGGGTGTGGGGAATGGGATGAGGGAACAGTATGGTTGTGGGGTACAGGGTGATGGAACAGTATGGGTGTTGGGTACAGGGTGAGGGAACAGTATGGGTGTTGGGTAGAGGGTGAGGGAACAGTTTGGGTGTGGGGAACGGGGTGAGGGAAGAGTGTGGGTGTGGGGTACAGGGTGAGGGAACAGTATGGGTGTTTGGTACAGGGTGAGGTAACAGTTTGGGTGTGGGGAACGGGGTGAGGGAAGAGTGTGGGTGTGGGGTACAGGGTGAGGTAACAGTTTGGGTGTGGGGAACGAGGTGAGGGAAGAGTGTGGGTGTGGGTTACGGGATGAGGGAAGAGTGTGGGTGTGGGGAACGGGATGAGGGAAGAGTGTGGGTGTTGGGTACAGGGTGAGGTAACAGTTTAGGTGTGGGGAACGGGGTGAGGGAAGAGTGTGGGTGTGGGGAATGGGATGAGGGAACAGTATGGTTGTGGGGTACAGGGTGATGGAACAGTATGGGTGTTGGGTACAGGGTGAGGGAACAGTATGGGTGTCGGGTACTTGGTGAGGGAAGAGAGTGGGTGTGAGGTTCAGGGTGAGGGAACAGTGTGGGGTACAGGGTAGGGAAGAGTGTGGGGGTCGGGTACGGGGGGATTGATGTGTCTGGGTGTGGGCTACGGGGTGAGTGAAGAGTGAGGGTGTCGGATACAGGTTCAGGGAACATTCTGGGTGTAGGCTACGGGTTGATTGAAGAGTGAGGGTGTGGGGAACGGGATGAAGGAAGATTGTGGGTGTGGGGTACGGGGTGAGGGAACAGTGTGGGGTACAGGGTGAGGGAACAGTATGGATGTGGGGTACGGGTGAAGGAACAGTGTGGGAGTGGGGTACAGGGTGAGGGAAGAATGTTAAAGGGATAGGAGTCAGGTAATGTGGCAAGGGTGGATGGTCTGGATCAGACACAGGATATCCTTATACAAACAAGATATCTATCTCGTAATATACCCACCAAATCCCAGTGGGTCGGTGTGAGGCATGGGTTTGAGTGGAATCCACACAGGGGTTTCATGTCAAAGTACAGGGTGACAATTACAACAAAATCACTAATACTAATTATTTCAACTATAAGAATACATTTATATTACAGCTTTAATGACAACAATTTGGAAGTTGTGACAAATAAAGAGAGAGGTACGTGGTAAATGGGTTGTCCAGGCGAACGTGGGTTCGAATCCCAGATCCGCACTGATTATACATTGTTTCTAGGATTGTCAGCATCATATCCGTGCGCGTGGGTTTCATCAAAGTGGTAACCGTCTGAGACCTGCATCACTTTGATCATTCATCCCGCACTAAGCAGATACGCTGTGATATAACTTTCAAAGCGTCGTCAACCTTAACCCAGTCACACACTATTGGGATGCATCCGACAGACATCCGCATCATTTGGAAATCTGAATGTCAGTCAAAACACCAGACACTTTAAAAAACATATCCTGTTGATATAAATGATAATTATTCATAAATATTTTTAAAGATTAGTGTCAAACTGAATGAGTGAATTTGGTTAACGTGGCGTTATGTAGATTGGGCCGCAGATTGACCTTTGACACCTGGAAAAAAGTTAACTCCACCCCCTCTTTATCTTAAAATATCCTATTCTTTGTTTGTTTTTTGACGCCGCACTCAGCAATATTCCAGCTATATGACGGCGGTCTATAAATAATCGAGTCTGGACCAGACAATCCAGTGATTGATATCATGAGCATCGATCAACGCAATTGGGTTGGGATACGGTGACATGCATCAGCCAAGTCAGTGAGCCTGACCGACCGATCCCTCTTTCGACAAACATAGTCGTCTTTTACAGCAAGCATGGGGAGTTGAAGACCCATTCTAATCCGGATCTTCACGGGTGATAAAATATCCTAAGTTGGTGCACGAACACTGACAGCTATATTTGTCCTGGTGGACGTAGTACTGAGTCACATGGCGCATATTTAGAAGATGGGGAAGCAATTTAAAGGTTTCAGAACGGTTATCATGGAACAGTTAAAACATTATATAATACACATAGCTTTCTGTATTACATTGAGTGAATATGTTTTTAGCAATATTTCAGCTCCATCACGGCGGGGGACACCACAAATGGACTTCACACATAATACCCCTGAGGGGAATCGAGCCCGGGTCCTCGGCGTGACGAGCGAACGCTGTAACCACTAGGCCACTCCAGCCCCCTTCTGTATTACAACACAAGTGTGTCACTTTGTAAACAAACAAAAGTGTTTTGGTAGGAATTAAGTCAATGGTTATTTATACATATCTTTTTCCAACGTGTTTCCTGACACGATGATTGTACAAACAGACCAAGGTTCGTAGGGGCGACGTTTGAGATTCGAACCCCGACCAACAAGTCCAAACAGGGGTCGTAACTCGACTTACACCTCACAGCGACTTTGACGTGTTACACAACTGGATCTAACGTGCCCAATTAATAATATAGAGTCTTAGAAATTAAAATATAATATAAGAGTAATATACTTGTTAATGTTCATCATATACATGGTCCTGTCACATTGCTGGGTTGATGGTTCGATCCCATCGCCAAGTCATACCTAAAGACGTTAAAAGATGAGGCTCTACCTGGCGCTCGGCATTAAGTGGATATATAGGGATTGGGCGGCTAGGGTCAGTATAATATATTGAAGTGGGGTATCACGTTAAACTCAGTTGGCTAGTACTATAAAACCCGCATAAGTCCGGACTAGTACAAGTTGCCCCACACACGTCGTGAATAATGTTGAACGTGACGTTAAACACCACATCACCTCGACTGACTATAGAGTGCGGCGTTAAATAACAAACAAACACATGTTAATGTTAGTATTGCTTCAGTATTGCTTCACGCCGCTTTATGAAATATCCTAATAATACCACAGCGGGATATTCGCAAATTGTTCCCATGCTGAAAATCGAAACCGGAATTTGGTCGTGACGGTCGTGCGCTTTAACCATTAGGCTACCCTATTGCCATTAACACTTACGTAGTTTATCTAACACAATACAAGTGTAGTACTCACATAGGATATAACAGGAAGATTCCACGACGCTGCCACCTTAGCCTCGGTTTCACAAAAGTCTTCCGGTCCAAAGAAAGCGACGGCTCCATTCCGCCACTGTTCCGTCAGTTCATTGACGCTGACGAACTCATTATCTCTGTTGTCGGCGAACACGTACTGAAGGGTGTGGTTGGGGAGGATGTCAGGGTTGTCATTGACGGTATTGACGGCATGCGCCATGGCACCAGCTATCCTCCTACCCTCGGCTTTGTTGGGTTCGGGGCTGTCAATGGTGGTGATGAACCCGACCTTGATGACGTCCTTGGCCAAAAGGCCGTAGCCGAACGCCGTCAACAGTAACAACAGTCTACTCCATCGAGGACACATTGTCATGCTTTCACACGACTAAGTGCATATTTTATAAAGATATTTTTTATCTATAGGATACCGGTCTGTCAAAAGATGAAGGTTGTTAAATTCAGATACACAAGCTTCACATCCATGTATAGTAAATCCCGGTTAATCGCCCATCTCAAAATACGCACTTGTGAAATCTCATGACACATAAACACGTAGACGATCCTTCATGGTGTGGTTAGACAAGTAACGGCCTCAGTGTAATATAAGATCCTTTATTCTCTTCGCACTCCTTAGCACTGTTCTTATATGCTTGTGTTCGCTTTAAACATGTTTCAGGGAAATAATTGCGTCATCTAGCCAAAACACGTACGCATCTTCATCGAATATCACCACGGCAACACGGATGGTTTAATACATGCGTTCAGTGTGTTATGAATCATAAAATTGTTACAATGTGTAATATGCGGACGTGTGTCCACGTAAAATCTACAAAAACTGTATAAGTATATAATTATAAACACTACATACTTTCTTCTGTACCTGTCCCCGCGAGGGAGGGAGACGGAACTCACTGTACTGGGTGACTTCTGAGTGTTATGAGCGAAATATGGGTATAAGATACATCCACCGTGGTGTCCTGTGGTGTCCTGTGGTGTCCTGTGATGTCCTGTGGTGTCCTGTTGTGTCCTGGGTGTCTTTGGTGTCCAACGGTGTTACTGGGTGAAGCTCACAAGAATAATCCTTTACGCCGTATTAATGAACAGTGTGCTTGTGCTAGTTGGTAGGGTATCGTGTTTCACCTGTACGGGAACTCACAGGTTAGAGTCGGAGTGTGTTGTAACGCGGCCCTGCCCCTCGGGGAGACGGTAGATACGGCAGCGCAGTTCCTTCAGGTGAAGTCAGACAAGTCAACCATGAGATGGCGTTTCGCTGATTGTATCGCTTACCTGTGTGTCGCCTCTAGGAAATTAACACAACGGGATGTGATAGGGCACTCACGGGGCGACCGACGAGTGTTGCCGTCGGGTAAGGGGTGGAGGACGAGTGGCAGGGTCGGGGTCGGTTTGAGGGAAGAGTGTGGGGGTCGGGTACGGGTTGTGGGAAGAGTGTTGGGTTTGGGCTCGAATTGAGGGTCGTGTGTAGGGGTCGGATATAGGGACCAAGGAAGGGTGTGCGGGTGGGTACTTTTTGGGGGGTTGGGGTGTCGAGAAGCAGGGTCGGGTACTTTTGCGAGGGTAGTGTGTGAGGTCGGGTAGGGGGTGAGGGAAAAGAGTGGGGGGCGGGTACGGGGTGAGGGAAGAGTGTTGGGGTCGGGCTCGGATTGAGGGTCGTTTGCTTGGGTCAGATATAGGGACAAAGGAAGGGTGTGCGGGCGGGTACTTATGCGAGGGTAGTGTGTGAGGTCGGGTACGGGGTGCGGGAAGAGAGTGGGGGTCGCGTACCGGGTGAGGGAAGAGAAGAGAGCGGGTGTGTTAAAGTGATAGGAGTCAGGTATTGTGGCAAGGATGGATGGTCGGGATCAGACATGCAACCTGATATTTGATCTAACGGGTAAAGCTTCAAGCTGTGATCTTGTTATCCACAACCGATGACACCATTTAAGCATCTGTCTTTATACAGGCAAGATATCTATCTCGTAATATACCCACCAAATCGTGAGACGCTAACACATTTCATAACACCTGCAGTAACAAAAGACAGGAAAAGGGAATGAAATGAATTAAAAATATCCCAGACATCAGATGACACAGTTGACCGCCTTCGACACGAGTAACAAAAGATCCTTCAGATCGCTTTTCAAGTTCATTCATTTTGTCTGTATTCATGCGTCCCCAGAGCAGTAGACGTTTCGCAAGGCCCAAGGACATACCCCGTCCTCTCTGTACTCAAGGGGGCAGACAGAAACGTTGTGACCCACGTTCACAGTGGACATCCACCTGGGTCAGATGTTCTATCTAGCTTAGTGTAATGGCACCTTCCCTCGGCTCACTCCTGGTTCATTTTGTGGTCACATCTCTTCCTGAATGAACTCTCAAGGTCAAATAATTGTTAATGCAGTTATGAACTGTGATATCATTGAATAATAATGGTTGAGTGATTGTATGGTATTACGCTAACTTTTGCAATATTTCAACCTTGTATGTCATGGTGGAGGTCACCGTGCACTGAGTTGATGCAGTGGAAATCGAACTTGGTCTTAGGCGTGACGTGCACTTTAAGCGTAAGGCTAACAAAACTGCCTTGCTGCAATTGATGATACGATGATACGAGCACTAAACATCTGTTAAGTGTTTTAATACTCAAAATCTACACAAATAATTTGGAATGGCGGTTTTACACCTTGATATAAAGTCGGGGAGACTAGTACACGTGTTTGTGTATGCATTTGTGTGTATGCATTTGTGTTAGTGTGTGTGTGCGTGCGTGCGTGCGTGCGTGCGTGCGTGCGTGCAGCATGAAGGATTGTATGTGTGTCCAACATGAAGGCTTGTGTGTGTGTGCGTGTGGGCACCATGAAGGATTGTGTGTGTGTGTCCAACATGAAGGATTGTGTGTGTGTGCGTGTGTGTGCCCAACATGAACCACTGTGCGCGCGCAACACGAAGGATTGTGTGTATTTGTATGCGTGTGTGCAAAATGAGATATTTAGAATGTGTGTGCGCGCAACATCAAAGATTGAGTGTGTATGTGTGCAACATGAAGGATTGCTCGTGTGTGCCTTTGTGTGTCTGCACGCAACATGAAGAATTGAGTGTGTAGTCACAGTGTGCGTGTGTGTGCGTGCGTGCGTGCGTGCGTGCGTGTGTGCGTGTGTGTGTGCGTGTGTGTGTGCGTGTGTGCGCGCGCGCATCATGACGGATTGAATGTGTGAGTATGCAACATGAAGAATCGAGTGTGTAATCGTAGACTCTGTGTGTGTGTGTGCGTGTATGTGTGTCTGCGTGTGTGTGTGTGCGTGCGTGCGTGCGTGTGTGTGTGTGTGAGCACATCATGATGACTGTATTGAATGTGTGAGTATGCACATGAAGGCTTGTGCACATATGTGTGAATGTGTGTGCAACATAATGGATTGAGTAAGTGTGTGTGTGAACGTTTGTGCGTGTGTGTGAGTGCGCAACATGAAGGATTGAGTGTGTGTTTGTGCGTGCGTCTGTGTTTGTTTGTTGTTTAACGCCGCATTAAGCATTATTCCAGTTATATGACGGCGGTCTGTGACAAGGCCAGTCTTGATCACACAATCCAGTGATTGACACCACGAGCATCGATCTACGCAATTGGGATACCTTTGCATGCATCAACCAATCACAGAGCTGGACCACCGATCCATTATGTCGCCGCCCCACACGCATGTTGTATATATCCCTGACTCCCCACTGGTCGGGACTGTCGGACATCGCTTTCAGTGACTTACTTCAAGTCAGCAAGTCATATGGCCTCCCCTGCTTCCGCGTGACTGGCTAATCATGTTTATTACGGGTTAATCGAGCGTGACATGGTAATTCAGACTGATGCTATCGGTGAACGTTGGATGAGCGAGGAGGGTGTTTTGCATCCAAGAAATATCGAAAAAAGATATCTGTAGATACATGAATGTTTACACGAAGATGAACAAAAACAATGAAAGAAACTCTCGAAAATCACTCATGGCGACATAGGCAGAAGGGCTAAATGAGCTGTGCTATTTCTGACGTTTTAATTTTTATTAAATATTCATCCAATTATTATCAACATACTCGTGATATGTTCTCAAACGTATTATTCAGATTGGTACAACCACATTCGTGAAGATGTGAATATTCGTTAAAGTTTATAATTAATAATTAATACAAATTATATCACAATACTATTTCATCACCATCAGCATCATCATCATCGTCGTCGTCGTCGTTGTTGTCGTTGTTATCATTATTATTATTGTTGTTGTTGTTCTTCTTCTTCTTCTATTTCTTCTTCATCTTCTAGGGCGGTCGGGTAGCCTAGTGGTTAAAGCGTTCGCTCGTCACGGGTTCGCCCGGGTTCGATTCCCGACATGGGTACAATGTGTGAAGCCCATTTCTGGTGTCTCCCGCCGTGATATTGCTGGAATATTGCTTAAAGCGGCGTAAAACCTTACTCACTTACCAATCTTCTTCTTCTTATTATTATTATCAAAGTCGTGAAGATAGTTTATGTGGGTATGGGTATACAGGTATTAAAAGGAAGTATTAACACAGGATCTGTGGGCAACAATCAAACTGTTTATCTCCTCCAAATGAGGTCGAGACTTACCTGGCCCACAAATTTCGCCCATTATTTCCCGCCTCATTAACGGTCCCCTGGTCTCACGCCCTAGGACGTCGCCTGTCGCATGTGACGACATCACTGCTGCGTTGGTCAATCAGCAGTGACGTCCCTTTGATAGTATGTATGATAGTCTTTGATATAATGTGTATTTATATAACGTGTATTACCCACGTGGGCGACTTCTAGGGGTGTGGTGTGTCTGTTGTGTTATTAACATCAAAAGGAAATATTTACTTTGTGTGAATATTTCTGTGCATTTTCGTCACAATCGATGAACGTCTTTAACGGAGTTCTAATTTGGATAATTTTTCGTGTGTGTACCCCCAACATACTTTATTGTAAAACTTAATCCTACCAATGCGGACATTTAATCAACAGACCAACAAACCACGCGCATGCGTACATCAATTCACTAACTTCACATGCGTTTGTTTGCTGAATTCTAAGCCGGAATATTCTCGGGACGGCATCTTCCCGAGGCAAGGGAGTTAACTGACTTTAAAAGTCCAGTTTCCACCCTTGCCCAACCAAGCTGGAATTCCTGGACTCGATCGTAGCTCCACCAGTGGTAATTACGAGTTATGTCCCTTCTAAGCCTCTCCTATGGACCAATCAGATTCCACCTACCGTATCACTTGTATTTGTTTCAAACAAAATGGCGGGCCCAGTCAAGACGATCTGATCGGTAATCAAGATCTAGTTTGTGATAAAACGGGTCTAACATAGCGAAGTGCATCAAATCACGTGAGCACCTTGAATAAAAAACATGAAAAGACTTAGAAAATATCTGTTGACAACGAGTTGGCGGTACACATGCTTTGCAAATCCTGCGATCGACCGAAATCTGCACGACAGTTTACTAACCGGATTTCGATTTCGTTGCGCGATTGTGATTGGACTATGCATAGACTCGTTAGTCCAGCCAAAATGTAACTCCATAATACCAACCTAGTTCGGCAAGGGTGGAAACTGGACTTTTATAGTCAGTTAACTCCATTGCCTCGGGAAGATGCGGGACGGCGACAATGCGCCAACACGACATATTTTAACATTGAAAAATGTCGCGTTGTCGCATTGTGTCCCTTTGGTAAAAAAATATATTATTCAAAGCGCGACAATGCTACAACACGACAATGTAACAAATGCCCAAACGTTGTTGCATTGTCGTATTGTCGCGCTTTGGTTAGTTTTGACCCCTTTGGCTTGTTTTGGTAAGGGCGACAATGCGACAACCGGCAATTTCCCCCTAGGATTCCGTAAAAAGTGTTTAAAAAATTACACCATTCTTGTATCTAATTTCGTTTAACCAAAGATACCGGTTTTTCTTTCATCAGTGATACTTTTCATAAAAAATATGGGAGCTCGGGTGTCCCAGTCGTCTAAGGCGCCGTATGGCTCTGTGCAGAGTTGCATCTCTTTGGCGCAACAGAAGCCGTTAATTGTGGGCTTAAATCTCAGAGTTGCTCTTGTAATGTTTCTAGGTTTGTTAGCACCACGCCCATGCACGTGGGTTTCGCCAAAGTGGTAAACGTGGAAAACCTACATCACTTCGTACTTTCCTCACACAAAAAGCTGCCACGTCATGATGTAACTTAAACATGTTCAAAGCGACGTCAAACCAGACTCACTGACGCACTTAAATATCACGATAAGACCTGTTAACGACGATCCAGTCCTCCCAGACGTAAGCGACACTGAATTAGTCAGGACGGAATTGATCGATCTGGATGTCACACCACTGAAAGAGGTGTCGATGAAATAAATAAAGTGATATGAATAAAAACACAGATCGACTAAAATGTCTCGTTCATATGGGTACGACTGAATAAGACTAGGGGGGTGGGGCTTTGGTTGTGGGATGGCGGAATAGACCACAGGCCCCTGTGTCGTCTGTTAAATATTTCTAGATGGTTTAATATCACGAGTGTCAGAATACATAAAGGATAAATAAGGATAATACATTCCTGATACTCGTGATATTAATCGATCTAGAAATATTTTATCAACGACACAAGGACCTGTAGGATACACGTGTGTTGAGAGAGGGAGGGGTGGTATAATAAGCTTATCAAAGAAGCTTGGAGACTTTCCAATGAAGTGCATTCCCATTTCGAAAAGAGGCGTTTTTCACGTCTGAAGTCGATGAACATATTCGTGCAGCGGACACCAATATCTATCGGCCATACTTTCAATGTAACGTTTTATATGCGCATTAAAGGTCCGATGTAGCAACGACGAATATATCGTACTACAGGGAATTTTGCAAGGACGGAATACATAGAAGTAACGGCCACCAATCAACTTC